ATTGATATAATTATATTATCAAATGATATCTTTTCAATATAATTTTATGAAATAAGACAATTCAATACAAAAATATACATTTAATTTTTTGATCGATTCAAATGATATTAATTATGAAATTGATTCTGATATTGCAGAAGAGAGTTGGATTTATGCCGATAACCGATAGAGAGATCCACCAGCTTACCGCAGCCTCATAGCACCGTAAAAATGTATTTACTCAAAAAAAGTTAAAAGTCACGGGTAGTTAGGCGGGAAATTTTTATTCCATTAACTCATATTTTATATTTCACTTAGGTTTATAGTAATAGTTTTGTTTTGTATTGTGTTCATCCTCTCTCTCTCGTGGTACATGTAACAATGAGCTGAAATGAATCATGTTATATAAATTCTGCCAACTGCATAAATATTATGTGTGGCTGGCACACGATACGATTCCGTTGAAAATACAATTATGTTGACAAATGATACAAGAAGACACGTATATGAAATAATTAAATAAAAATGTTATTTATAAAATTATTATCGTATGATATTATTAGTAGTCCTACATGGATTGTAGTCCATGTGGGTATATATACAAGCCATTTATTTTATTATTAGCATACAGAGCTCACCCAGCCCAATAATAATTTTGGTTAAAATTATATCACATGTTTTATTAAAAATGCTATAAGTACATAATAAATGTACATAGAGGTGTACAAAACGCTTACCTGAAGTGAGGTCCACTTGATTTTTTATTTTTGGTCGGTCTCACTCAATGTGAGTGTTATGTACACCCCTATGTACAATATTATGTACCTGTAGCATTTCTCCATGTTTTATATACTGAGGTGAGTTTGGTTGAAAGAATAGACTGGGCTTGATATACACCTCGTTTGTTTATTGGCTTTTCAAGTTTTTTTTTGGCTGTTTGACCAAGTTGGCTGCTTTGACTTGTTGACACGCTCAAAAAATGTTGTTTTAATTTTCAGTTGTTTTTATACTGGTCTTGTTTGACAATCAGCGGTTAGCGGTTAGCTGTTAGCGGATTATATCAACTGTTTTGACCAGCGGATTGTATTGGCTGGTTTGACCAGCGGATTACATTAGCGGATTGTTCTGAAGCCTTTGGTAAATATAGCTGATTGATATTAATAAATTGAATAAAATAAGTAATGTGAGTAAATATATAAATACTAAAGTGATAATAATAACAACAATTTATTAAATATGTATAAAAAAATATGAAAGAACTTAATTTTGTAGATCAAATTTGAATAGTATTAATTAATTTCAATTCTCACTTGTACAATTATATATAATCATATATATTTCACTTGTTTTTTTTTCGACAACACATCTAACTCGTTCTTATACCATATAATTGAATTCAATTTTTTTTTTCAGATACTAAATTAATTTCAATTTATTATAGCGAAAATAACATAATTTTATTTCTATCTTATTCAAACAATTGGCGTCTGTTCTACTTGAAAAATAGCTCGATTTTATCAGCTGATAGTAATAGTTGCTTTGACAATTAGAATGTATAAGTTGTTTGTAAGAAAATATTTTGTAAAATTAGTTGTTTGTTATTAGCTGATAGTATATTAAATTACTAATAAGAAGATTTATAAATAATTTAATATTTTTTATCATAATTATTTAAAAATTATAATTCACATATTTTGTAATTTTAAAATTTAATAAAAACATAATAGCACAAGCATAAAAATTTTTGATTGACAACCAAAGTTTCAATAAAACGAAAGGTAAATAATTATTCTATAGAACAATAAATTATTTTTGTATTTCATTTAATTTCTTAATACTAAAAATAAATTCTTCTAGACCGATTTTGAAAAAAACATATATCATGCACACTACTCACACATGTACATATCATGTACACTACTCACACATATGTTACTTTTGACCTTTAAAAAGTTATTAAATAACAATCAAATTAGCTTTTTACTTGAAACGCTGCTTTTCAAAACGTTATTCCTAGGAGCGTTTGAGTTTGAGATAGGTGCTGGAATTTTAATGTTTGCATTTTTAATTATCCTCCTAATATTAATGCATTGAGTCTTTTAATTTTGATGGATTCTTGTACGGTTGGTTATTTACTTATTTATAGTGGGGGTAGGGCCGTAGGAGATGGGAGTTTAGACCATCATTTTTTAAGTGCATAAAACCTTAAAATTTTAGTGGGAAGATAACAACAAAAGTATTATTTGTGCCATTTATTTTTTTTAAATATTATTTTAATATATAAAAATTATTTATTTTCAAGGTTAATTTATATTTTTATTTCACTTATTACTTCTACAATAAAAAATATAAAAAATAATTTACTTTTAAGTTTAATTTTTATTTTTGTTTCACTTATTACTTCTCCTATAAAAAATATAAAACGATAATTTAAAAATACTTATTATATCGAAAAATAATTTTTGTGAGTATAAAATAAACAAAGGAATATAAAAATGTATATTTATATATAAAAAATTCAAGGTAATAATAAAAATATATTTTTACGAATCAATAAGCTACTTTTACCAACTATAATTCTGAAAACCGTTATTACATTCGCTAGTCAAAACAGTTGATACAATCCCCTGGTCAATACAGCTAATACAATCAGCTAACAGCTATCCGCTACCTACCAAACAAGGCCATAATCTTTTTTATTGTTTCAAAGGCTATCCATTTATTTAGCTAGTGCATTAACTTGTTTGGTTTAAAGTTGGAAATTATATCCTTTAAGACACAATTACTTTTATACCCTACATTTTTAATTAAATTTCAAAATGAGTTCAACATATTAAGAAAATTGGAGCTCCAAAAATCGAAAATGGCGGATCCCAGCACATATAATTTCCTCCGCTTCAAGCTGAAGCGGGATCCCAACACCTTACAGGCCATCGGAATCGACGGCCACCAGAACGCGCACAAGCGGGAGAGAGCCGCAACCAGGAGATCGCTCACGGCCACTGGCTGACCTTCGAGATCGACAGCTGAGNAGAAAAAAAAATGCCCGATCTGAAAACGAATAAAACCTAATGAAAAGACCTAGAACGGGGGGAAAAGAAATGAAAAATAACAAGGAAAAATGCAACAAAAATGGGACAAACAACTGTGATGAAATTTGACGATTTATATCAAAATAGGGTCGTAACAACCTTAATTGATAGAGTAGCCACGGTCTGAATTCAGAAAGAAACATCATCTATTTCAATATGCGTGGTTTCAAAAATTTCTCTGGTTAGAATACTTTCCTTCAAAAGATGCAATTTTTCGTTTTCCATGATATTTCTTCAAAACTACTAAAGCACAACCATCTACATTTATTGTTGAAGGCTTTAGAAGTTAAAAACGTGAAAACGATGGAACTAAGTGTGCATTTTTGTCTCATATGGGAAATTCTAACTCAGTGCATCGTAATTTGATAAAATCAATTATTGATTTGATGAATATAACTCGACATATATATTGGTATGCAAAACAACCTCGACCAACTTGAACGACCTTGGATCCGCTCACGTCTATTACAAAGACCTACAAAACATAGCTGACAGTGGTCCCAGCGTAGAGCATCCGATGATCAAGTAAGAAAGTGTATGAATACGATGAACAGTAGCAATATAGTCTGTATGAAAGCAATAGTGTGCATAGTGTAAATAGAAATACATCACCCCTTTATATAGGGGTAGTGCCTTGTTGCTCAAGATTACCCGGATGAGTTGTCCGAGTGCCAAAATTGCCCGTGCGTACTGCTCAGGTTCTCGAATTGCCCGATTCTGTTAGGCCACTAGGTATAATCGATGTGTGGTGTGTATCTTAATTATATATCTTCTTATCCATTAGTCTGCCTTATTAGAATGTCTAATCATAGGACCAACTCGGCTTCCCTTGAGCTAGATTGTCTTCTCGTTGTGCTTGTGCACTATGTCTCTCAGGTAGTCCATCGACCTATATACCTCTAAGTATAGTTTCTATCAGGTCATCCGACCGCCCTAGCTCGACCAGCTGGTGAGCCTCCCTAACTGTGGAGTCACCATCGACTAGATGCTCCGACGACCTCCAATATCGTCGATCTCCGTTCGACCTGTCGGGTCGCCAGGTTAGTTTGACTGCTTCTCGGGTCGGGTCGGCCCGATATGGTATCCCATATCATCTGGTCCCCCTACTCTGGGCGGGTTAGAATAACTTTATTTAAGAGTAACTTTGATGTTTTTGTCCCACTTACTGAGCTTGCGGCTTGCCTAATTGATCTCCCAACTCATGTTTCTTGGGCAATCGTCTCGACCTTACGCTAATCTTCTCTAGTTTAACATTTTAATTACAAATTTCTGCATTATCAAGTCATCTTGACGCCTCTTCAGCCAACGTGACGACGTCCTCTCAATGTAACTACCTCGCTATCTGTGTTGTCTTTGTGCAGTGTACACATTAAATGTTGCATTAATTAATTCATTCCACCCGATCTTATTTTAATCCAACGATCATAACCAGTTTCCTTTCAGCTTACCCTTTTCAATCTTTTCGTCCATTTAGACCTCGATCCAATGATCCTACTCGGCCTGTCCATTCAACTAACCTTTTAATCTCGTATCACCATTTCGACCTCTATCCAACGATCGAGATCAATCGGCCTCTTGCCCTTCATTTTTCTTTCGCCTATAAATAAGATCCTTAGCCAAATTTTACAGCTTTTCCACCTTTGCGAAAAATTTTCAGCAATATATTTTCTTTAAGTCTCAATAAAAGACCTACGTCGTCGTCGTCCTATGACGTCATCGACCACTACTACAGGATTGTTTTCACCTTCCGACTTCCAAATTCAGCTAAGTCTATGAGTAAGTATCTCTCTTTTATTTTCTGTTAATTTTCATGTTAGGTTTTTTGTTCAAATTTCCTCCTTCACACGTCTACTCCTCAAACTCTTTTCTTCGAATCACCCCTTCAAACATATACTGTTTTTTCTCTTTATTAAGATTCTCGCACAACCAATGACTCTGATGGTGCCTCTGTCGGCAGAGATACGTGTTCTCCCTCAACAAGTGTACTATACAAGATTCCCAACTGCTTCTAAACATACACAAGATGCGTGGGTTGTTTTCAAAACAAAAGCACGCCAATTGATTGATGTACGAGGTGTCATCTCCGAGAATAAAGATTTCAATATGGTAGACAACCTTTCTTTTCAAGAAGAGTCGCCCATAAATAATATCCCGTTGGTGCCAATAAGTCAAGAGTTGGACAATGAAGAGATTGTACAGGTAGGTAAATTGAAGAAGTAGATATAGTGGAACTTGAGAAAGTAAACGAAGATGATATGGTTTGATTTCTGAATCAGGTGAAAGTAAATATGTGTTTTGGGGCACAATGCCTCGGCTAAGCTCGGCATTTACGTACTCTTATTTTTCGTTTTTGGAATTTACTCAGAAAATCCATTCCGACTAACAGTGATGGGAAAAAACAATTTGACAAGGTGGCAACTAAAAATCCCCTATATTTAAAGGTGAGTTTACTGAAACATAAAAATGTGGGCAAAGTGTTTGATAAAATGTCCAAAAGAGTTCATGAGAAAATTTAATAGTTGCAAATTAATTAAGCCAAAGTTCGCGTTTTGTTTATACTTTGTGGTAATCTAACTCAAATTGTAAATTTTAAATAACAAAATCCATTCCAATGGTTATAATATTCTAAATGACTTTTACTTATCCACTCTCATGTCATGGGACAATTGAATTTAAAATTAAAACATAGCAGCTTCCCTTATCTTCTCATGGATGTTAGGCATTTTAATTTGAAACAAAAGTTTGATTGTAGATAAGATTTATATTCTATATAAATCCTACCATTACTTCTAATTTCCTAGACGTCCAAATACATGTACCAGCAACCCGGGGTCTTTCTGATTTTTTGAAGACATGTGAAGTGAAGATAGGGAAAACACCCTTCTCTTTATAATTAGCTAGTGTTTGTTGGTTGGTTTTTCTGCTTCTAGTTTCTAGTGGATGTTCTTGTTTCTTGTTTGTCTGCTGCTTGGGTTTGATTTTCTTGTTTTTGCTTTTATGTTTAGGGGTTGATGATGGTATGTCTTAAATTATATTTTTTGCCTCGATATTTAAGTAATTTATCTACTCTTTAATTTAATTTTATTTTTTTCACTCTAGAGCTGGACTGCTAGTGTATGATCTAATGGTGGTGTATGCTAATTATGTACTATTGACTCTATTTCTCCATGTTCTAGTGGAATTCTGCATTGTCGATTTCTTTCTGTATAATATTGTGTATATTGGTGTTGTCTCTTACAGTGTTACAATTTTAGATCGAAATGCCAATATATATATATATATATATATATATATATATAAAGTTCATGTATATATATATATATATATATATACACACATATATATATATATATGTAGTTTAAGTTCATGTAATTTTAATATAGGGCTAAACACTAGTTTTGAGAGAAAAGTTTTCTTTTATGTAATGATAATCATGTGTTGAGCCAACAACATACACATTCTCCTATACATCCTTGTTTACCCAACAAAATCATTGCAAAAAGAGAAGTACACATTTACAAAATTCATTCATCTCTATCTGCATTGATTTTATTAGACTGGACAGTGGTGGTCTTTTGGTTGGCCTTTTGTATATTTTGATCTACTGTATTGAATTTGTGCGTTTTCGACATAAAGAAAAAAGCAAGGCTAAAAGTGAGTGGCGTAGAAAATCATCTTACGAAATCTAAGACATTCAATTAAAAAACTTATTTTATTGGAACAGGATATCAAAACAAGGATTGCACATGCGTGGATGAGCAGGAAGAGGAAGCTCTCGAGGTGACAGTCGAAGAGTTCGAGTAGTACAAAGTAGTACAAGTAATGATGACTCAAGATTGCCAGTTTATCGAGTCTTTTGGATTCAAGTAGTACAAAGTGATGAAGACTCTCCTTCTCCAGCCCAATTTGTTGCTGCTGGTACAAATAATGTGCAAGAAAGTGAGCAAACTTAAATCCATCTGGACACTCAAGATTATGAAAATTCAGGAAGTCGGTCAGATTAGGGGCTGTCTAATGACTCAATAAGTGATGCTTACATTGTTAGGAGAAGAGGACCAAACCGTGGTGCAATTGTTCCAACAGGTGAAAGTAAGTGGATTCATATATTTGTTGAACAAAATAGGCATGCAGTACTTACTTTTTAAGTCTCCTATTCATGATTTGTATCTGTGTGGACATGTATAGATGTGGACATGCATAGATGTGTTTGCATATTTAATAAAAAAAATATCTAGTATAACATTTCACTTTTGCATGACATTAATACATAGATTCCTAAACCCGGAGGTTCCACATGATATAACTGCGACCTTGAAAGAATATTTGAATGGCCCTTACCCGATATATAAACATGTTCCATGTGCCACAAAAGATGCATTATGGAAGAAATTCAATGTAATGTTTGTCAATAAGTTAAGTTATTTTCAGCTTAATGTCTCCTATTCCAATAATGTCTTGTCCAATTTATTATTGCTACTATGAACATGTGGTTCGTAGGAAAAGTTCAAGTGGTCCCCAAGAAAAAATGAAAAAGTACGGAGAGCATTTAATAGATCGTCTGTTGATCGACTTAAGGGGATGTTCAATCGAGCGCGTTCACGTGCAATGAAGTTATGCAATAGCTCGAAGAATCCAAAGGATTGGGTGTCTCATGCTCCAGGATAGTTAGATGATGAATATGAGATGAAATGCAAGATTGCAGAACAAAATAGAGAGACTAAGAATGAAAATTCTATGGCAAAACACACAGGTGGTTCGATACCTTTTGTTGCTTAGAGAAAAAAATGGCACACCAAACTTGTTCAAGTATTTTCTTAATCGTACTAAAAATTTCTATACGTAATTTAACAATCAGCTACATGTGTCAACATGTTTCAGGAGATGAAAAATGCAAAGTCCGCAATCTGAATTATTTGCCCGAACACATAAGCGCAACAAGGGAGCTGGTTATTATGTTGACGATAGGTCTAAAGAAGTTAGTGTAAGTATTATTCTTTTTCAATTATTTGTTGCCGGAGCTGAATATTTTAATACAAATTATGGTTATTTTAATACAATTTAATTACTTATTTGCACACGGTACTTGTCCAGGAAAAATATAAAGTTGCCCTTGAAGCAAAGTACGGTCTTGATATGTTAGATGAGCTGATTTTTTTTATGCTGATGCATGGGCAGAAGCGACAAATGGTCTACACAGAGGTCGTGTATATGGATTTACACCGGCTGAAAGAGCTTCACTCATTCTTTGTTCATTAGTTTCAGAAAAAGAAGACAGCAATGAAGATGTGAATGAGACGCTCAAAACGATGCAAGAAATTTTGATGAGCTAACAAAGATTAGAGTCGAAATAGAAAAAGAGATTCGCCAAGAGTTAGTGGAAGCGATGACTAGCGAAATTGCGAAGATCAAGCGGCAATCCAAGGAGGAAATAAATGAAATTAAGCTGGGAATGAAATGTCGACCAAAGAGGCACCGTAAAGAACTGGATGCAATGATTCGCAACATGCTTCGAGAAGTTAACCTCCCTAACTCGAAGTATCCTTCGGGTTCGGGGACGAAATAGTGTTTCTTTTTTTTTCTTTTTTTTTTATTTGCAATAAAAATAGTGTTTCTTGATTGCACCTTTAGTAAGTCTTAAATCATATTTTTGCTTCAAAAAAATGTCAGGCTCGTTAATATTTTCAGCATTTAGTTTGGTACCTATATTTTTTATTTGAACTATTTAGTTTTTCTACATCTTTTAGTTAAAGATTTAGTTTCATTTGTAGTTTTCTCTATCGAATATTTAATTTTACTAGATCTTTTGGTTAAAGATTTAGTTTCTTCTACAACTTTTCTCTATGGACTCAGATATATTTTAATCTTACGTGTCGTCATTTATATGATAATCATTTTCTTGTACCATCTTTTGTTTTGATTTTTATTTCCTATAAATATGACAACTAAGTTAATTGAGATATTGTAAGTTAATATTTATAATTTATTATACAAAAAAAACTAGAAATGTAAGGTTAATAAAGAAATACAAAGTTGCACTTAATAATTAGTTAAGTTAATAAACAATTAGTGAGTTCCACTTAAACATTGGTACCAACCCACGTTTAAAACCACCACGCATTTAAAACCACTCACTGCCTGACGTATCATAACTGAACACTAAAGCACAATTTGGCATTACAAGTGAACATTGAAGCAAAACACTTCTGGGGAATTACCAGTTGTCTTAGAACATAAGATTGGATTTGAATTCTCCACAAATCTTAAATCCGTTGTATGAGGAGAATGGTAAGTTTTTGGAAGAAGCCGATGGTAAAATGAATACGGTAAGTGCAAACATAAGTT